AGTCATGCTTCATGTTGTCACATAAATCGTGAACTTGATCTTGGTGGTTCCAAAATGAACACGACTAAAGGACAAAAAATCTACCTTTTGTTTATAGATCATGGAAAAAATATGACGTGCAAATATTTAGCCAATAAGAAACGCGACTACTCCACAAAAACCAAGATGAAAACTATGGATTTTACAAGATGCATTACCGTTTCTGATGTTTTCTCAGTGCAACGTTACACAACGCACTATCTACACTCTGTCCACCGCGGAGAATCGAACCCCAGATTTTAGCGTTTTAAGTCCATAAACTTACCGATGGGGGGTGATAATACAATGTTTATCCATTCATATTTTTATCCACTAGTAGCATGTATCTCTGTTGTTTTTTAAATACTCCTAAGAGCGCAAGATGCACAGTAAGTTTGGGTAGAAAACGTTAGTTTCACTTCGCTTAACTATAATTGTACGTTTCCAAAAACTTGCAGGGTATTTTTTTTTCTCTAATATAGAAAGTAAAAAAATAATTGTTTGTCGTGCCCCAGACGTACAGAGTTGAACAGCTCTAGAAAACCTAGACGTATATTTAATAAAATCTTCATAATTTCCCCTTTATGATACTTTAAACTTTACTGCCTAATTAACAAAGAAAACGTAAAGTAAAGAATAAATGTTTATAATTATTACAATAATAAAAAAATTCTGAACATTTGTAATACACAATCACAATCTTTGGAGGTGCGTAAAATGGTGGTCATTTTCAACCAGTTGAGTTGCAGCCATCTTTATTTTTGTTTATTTTTGCTGGATAACACTTTTATTTTGTACTCTAAATATTGATGCGTGATTCATTGCTAAACTATAACTCTTTATACGTCGCACGAAATCATTTTTTTTTTACAATTCTAAGTTGTTTCTGGAGTTGATGAGTTTTCTGCATCACACAGAAAGTTTGTTTTTGTTATTAAGCACAAAGCTACACAATGGGCTATCTGTGCTCTGCCCACCACGGGTATCGAAACCCGGATTCCAGCATTGTAAGTCCGCAGACATACCTCTGTGCCACTGGGGGGGGGGGAGGCTAGGGACTGAAGGAATAAATATTTGGTTACGCTTCGTCAGCTCACTATTCTAAAAAAAATCGTAATTTCAAGTTGGAATAACCAAAACTTATAATCCCAGTAAAGATACGTCAATGACCATCCTAAAAAATCTTCCCTGAGATTTAACTAAGACACTAAGTTTGGTTTCAGAATAAGCTTTGTTACGCTAGATAATATGTTCATAATTTCTTTAGTGGTGCCATTCTAACTTAGGAAAAATTTTGTCATTTTGAAGTTTGGTGTAATCATCACTGTAAAAACTTTTTCCAGCAAGTACGAACCACATATAGCCGATATTTTTTAAAAGAAAACACACACACACACATACATCACCGATTACAGTGTCCCACTCTTACCTGTTAGGCTAAAATAATTAACTTTCCTATGTAAATAATACAATGAAGTCAGCAGAATTATTTAACTTTGTAAAAAATATGCATTTGTTTTTCCTGTCAGAATAAATACTGGAGAATTTTGTAATTCCTACATTTTTTCCTGTTACGACAGGGGGCGGTATAAAAGAAATAATAAGGCCAGGTAAACAAAAGTCACCCGATTTCAAGAAATATTGACTTTCATGAGTTCGAGGTTGTAATGGGTCATTTGGAATATTTTAACACTTTGTGCGTGTGTTCATTTCGCATTTTTCTGTTTGATTTACTTGAATAATCTATCTTTCTACTATCCTCTACACTCTTTGATATTTTCAGCTATTTTCTTCTTTTTTCACTCTACATTTCCAAACATTTGTTCAGATCTGGCAGGGCACGGGATGACCTTTAAGCTGTGAGTGCATTATAAGAGTGACAGTCAATCCCTTAACGTGGATTATGGGTGGTAGAGTCCTTCGTTGCAATCGGTACTTCAAAACTTGGAGCGGCAGCAGATATATTTAGTAGCATTGTCGTAAACACAATACAAACACAACAAAATCTTTCGACTTTGAAAATATTTTCTTATTATTTTTTTAGTATTAATTGTTGTTCTTGAGGGAATAATAGCTTTAGAGAACAAATTGCGGTTGTTTCTTTTAAAATTATTACTGTGTAGCCTATCGTATTAAGTTGAGAACAGAAAAAGGAATTGGAAAATGCAACCCGAAGATCATTTAGGCTAAACGTACAGAGCAGAAACACCCTAGGATGTAGCCATTCCTAACTGTGATTTTCTAGCAAGTGGGAAGACAGATAGTTAGCATTACGAGGGATATGTCCGATTCTTTTGAATCGATCAACGGGATGATTGTTACTTTTATAACGTGAACAATAAATGTTAAGGTATAAACTGGATTAAGTTGGTGAAGCGTAATTTTTCATCAGTTTGATTTATGTCACCAAACATCAGAATCAGGTTAAGGATTATTTAACATTATGTTATTTATTTGTTTGCAGGGAAAGAACGTAAATGTTTCAAACCTTTACAACATTAAGCGAACTAAAAAAAAGGTTTTGGTCAAGTTGGCCAAAGTTATAGATTTCAACACAGTAGCCCTGATTTAGACAAAACAGAAACGAAAATAAGTCAGTTATACAAAATCCATCACATGCAGTCCTATGGATGATATTAACTACTCAGAAGTTTCAAGAGGCACGAAAAATGCGAAATATATTCGTTATTAATATATATATATATAACTTTTTATTTTGGGATTGTGACGTCACAGAAGAACAGCCTTTGATGACATTGTACGAAAGTTTACCTCAAGTGGAGAAAAATCGGTGTTCGTAACAAAAAATAATCACATCTGGATTTCAAAGAGTAGTGCATAACGTTACGATTATAAAAAACTGTTAAAACGCAACGTTAGGATTATAAAAGTTTTACATGCAACGTTAGGATCTTAACATACCGTTTGTACGAAGCGTTAAGATTATAAAGTTTTAACATGCAACGTTAGAATCTTAACATACCGTTTGTACGAAGTGTTAAGATTATAAAGTTTTAACACGCAACATTTGGACTATAACAAACTATTATTTCGTAATGTTGGGATTTTAATGAGCTGTTATAACGCAATATGAGAATTTTAACAAACTGTTAAAACGCAACGTTAGGATTATAAAAGTTTTAACACGCAATGTTTGGATCTTAACAAACTGTTAAAACGCAATTTTAAGATTATAGGACTTTTAACACGCAACGTTAGGATCTTAATAAACCGTTAATACGAAGTGTTAGGATTATAAAAGTTTTAACACGTATCATTAGGATATTAAAATATTAATACGTAACATTTGGATTATAACAAACTTTTAAAACGCAACGTTAGGATTTAAACGGCATGTTAAAAACCCAATATTTTACTAGCATGCACTATAAATATAAATATGTGTTATAATTACGTATTTTGCTTGAGAATCAGCATAAGCAGTGATACGAATCCATTCTCACAAGAAAACGTGCTCTGTTTCCCGGACTAAAACGTAGAGGCGTGTTTGGAAAGCTAAAACTCAACATTCCTTAGCTTCCTTCAGGAAGAGAAAAGGAATTACTTCCTTCATGACTTTCCAAACAAAAGGAAGTTATCGAGACGGGAAGAAAATTCCAAACTACATTCTTCCTTCAAGATAACAGGATTTCTCTCATATAAAAATAAAATGTTTTCTAAGATCCAAAAGCTGGATTTACGAAGAAACAAAAATATTTTTCCTATGTCTTCTTTATAGCTTCTCCTTGGAGTGAATTCCTGTCACAAGCTAACTAGAGTTGCGTTTTGAACCGTGTTCCATAAAGCTCTATGTCTTTTTGTGTTTCAGAGGTAAACCTTAGGACTTATAACACTATAATTAAGGGTTCGATCTCACACCAGACGCAGAACATGTAGCCCGTTCTGTATCTTTGTGCTGAAACAAGCAAAAACTTCTAAAAGGATTTGCCTAAACCTTTTCTTGTTTTGTCTCTTAATTATTTGACGTCAGGTAATCTATTGTTTTCTTTTTAACATTAATTATCACATGGACTTCAGCAGGGGGAGCTGTACCCACCTGGGAAATGAGAAACATAATTCTTTCTTTATTCACTCAGCATATGTATACGAGTTATTTATTCAATTCACAATTTCACATTACCTCCCCCCCCCCCAGGAAAATTTGGGCCCTCCCTTGAAATATTTCTGCGGATGCCCATGGGTGATAATTAGCATTAAACTCCTCTGACGCTCGAAATGGTATGTAAATAAAAATATTAGATAGCTTTACTTCTAAGATAATTTACTTGTTATCCATTTTATAGGTTTATAACACATGATAACGATAAGCTTGTGTTGTTGGGTAGAAAGAACACTTTGTTCCCAACACAGTTTGGATCGTTGTGGCTAAGCTTTCCCTAACCTTGGCCTGAAACATTCACGTATGTATGTATATTTAACAAAAATACGAATGTAAATATTTACAGATGTAAATAGTACACTCTCTCGAAATTATTAGTATGTGGGAAACAACGAAATGTTTGTATTCGAAATAAAATAAAATAATAACAGAAGTGTTATATAATAGAAAAGAAAATTCAGGTATTTTTATGCTCTTTATATGTCGTTTTTTTAACCTGGTGGGCAACAGCTGAATAAAGCTCGATGTGAGGTCCTGTAAATACTAATCTCCCTACTTGGCTGCAGCGTACGTTAACCCCGAATCTTCAAGGTCCTTCTTACAACCTGAAAATTTTTCTAGCGAACTGCCAGAAGTGATCGTGACTTGCAATGCGCGCATGCACGTGGCAACGCTTCTAAATCTAAAAACCTGTGTTGCTTGAGAAGAGACGAGTTCGTACATGAGTGCAGTCGAGTTTATATTTGTTGTGTGTACCATAGGTTGTATTTAAGTATTCAGTCATTTCTAACCAGAATGTCTTCGGACATCACCCGAAGAGAGACAGTTAAAGTCTTTCTAATTTTAATGGTATATATGTATCCATCAGGTCGGTTTGCTTTTGGAAAGGATCAGATAGTTGAAGGAGTTTTGTTGACAACGCCAGAAGTTTTGTTTCAAGAACAAACACTCGGAAAGGAAGAAACAACTAAAGCAATTCAAGATGCACCAAAAGATTTGAAATATAGAGAGGTGAATACTTTAAACCCGACTCTCCAGGACGACGTCAGAAATTTACCACCAGGTGACGCTGTGAAAAGCAACAGGAAATCTCACTTAACGACAAAAATGGAAGTCCTGGAGTCAGGTAACTCAAAAGATGGCGTTCCTAATAATACAGTATTGGACACACACACACCACAAAATATTTCTCGCTCTCGAGCACCAGAAGCAACTTCTGGGTCATCTAGTGTCAACACAACCAAACCACCAATAACGCCTAAAGATAAAAGAAAAAGCATCAAATCCAAAGGACTTATAGATAATGATGATGATGAAGAAGAACCAAGCGCAACTTCTCCTAAGTCGAGCGATTTCCAGGGGTTGCAGGCATTTCAAGAAACGCTACAAAAATTAAGGAAGATGGGCCGAGAATTTGTTACCCAAGCATTAAAACGAACATTACCAACAATGGTCCGATTAAACTCAGAAATGAGACTTTCTACTAGTTGTTCTGGAAGCTTATTTAAACTAGCCGTGGGTATCCGGAAGCTCCAGGAATGGGCCATAAAAAGTAAGTGAACTGAATACTTCCGATTTGTATGTTTGTTGTTTAGTTATGGCATTTTAGCAAAAATAGTTTTGATTTCATTGTAACATTCTACGAATGTATTTCTCTTTGCTTTTGGCCCGGCATGGCCAGGGGGTTAGGGCGCTCGACGCGCAATCTTAGGGTCATGGGTTCGAATCCCCGTCCCACCAAATATGCTCGCCCTTTCAGCCGTGGGGGCGTTACAATGTCTCGGTCAATCCCACTATTCGTTGGTAAGAGAGTAGCCCAAGAGTTGGCGGTGGGTGGTGATGACTAGCTGCCTTCCCTCTAGTCTTACACTGCTAAATTATGGACGGGTAGCGCAGATAGCCCTCATGTAGCTTTGCGCGAAATTCAAAAACAAACAAACAAAACAAACTCTTTGCTTTTAAAGGAGCAAATAGTAGGCGGATATGTGCAGGAACTCTGTATTTTAATAGTTATATTTAAGGATTTCAATGATTTCAAAAGCAAGCCTAAAATATTTAGGGTGATTACTTGAGTGAACTTTTAAATTACGGACAACTATCAGTTATACACTGATCTAGATTAACAGTTAAGTGATAATTAGATTATTAATAGTTTATCTATGAAAGTATATTGCAACTACATGCAGAACACTTCTGCGAAAATCTAGATAAAGCAACTGAATATAACCAAAGATATAATCTATACTAGTTACGAAAGATTAAAAATCTAGTGATATTTCATATCCTCTCATGCTCACTGTGAACAGCAAGGGAAACCAAGCACCGATGTTCTGTGTAAAACAAAGTCAAAGTTTTAATAATGTTCTGAGGAATTCTTGACCACTCTTCTAAAATAATTGTTTTCATGACACCTTTATGTCTAGAGTCACTCGACTCGGGCACCTTTATGTCTAAGAGATCTGACGCACATGTCAAAAGAGTCCTATTAATACTGGTTTGTTTGTTTGTTTGTAATTAAGCACAAAGTTACATAATGGGTTATCTGTGTTTTGCCCAGCACTGGTATCGAAACTTGCGCGACTCTAGCAACCAGTACTGCACCGCCCATCCTATTACAATAGACCAAACTACTCAAACCTCACCCACCCCTGAATCACAAGACACGTCAACCCAAACCACCACTACTAGGAGAAAAATGGCACTCAGACCCAGCCGCAAGTCTTCACAGTTACCAACGACGCCTATCAAAAAATCCACCAACCCACCTCCCAGCCCGAAGCCACTTTCCACATCATCGTCGTCAATCTCACCGAAAGCCTTAGTAATTGACACCTCCCCCGATCTCTACCTACCTGACGAACCTTTCTGTGCCTTCCGCCCGCTCACCAACGACACCGAGGACTCCACGCCTACACCACCTTCCTGGAACCGGAACTTGTTCCACAATAAAACCACGGCGAACATCAGAAGGCTCCACAACTAATTCAAAGCTAATCAACCCCCAGCACCACACTTCACTTTGCCTTCGCTACTTACTTCTTCTCGCTAACCGGGCACTGGTAACGAATTGGTCGTTACCAGTGAAAGTGGGTTTTCTCGGGGTATTCCCGTTCCCCCACCCCCCACATTAGATTCTTGGCATAGGATATTTAGATCCCCACCGCCCTGATGGACCATCAGTCCGATATTGGCCGTTTAGTTTACTTTGCTCTTCACTTTTTATTTTACCGTTACTCTCACGTTTACCTTTTTATATTTACATACCTTGCCTGCAATAATTTCCTGTTTCCTCAAGTGAAGCCCATATTTCGAGACCATGCGCGGGGTGAAGGAGGATTGCTTCATCTTCGAGCACCCTAGATTAGTAATTATTTCTTCGGAAATAATTAATTTTAAATCTAAATAACTGCCAGCAATAAACGAACGACTCTAGGCCACTCCATTCAATTACTTCTTCAAGAAATGTGTCGACAAGTTTAGCATCACGAGGGGTGAGTATTAACATTCATTAGGCTGAAGTCAGGGTCGTTGTAATGGTAAGCGAAAAGGTTCTTATGACAGTACAAAGGGTCCTAAGACTTGGTTCTTATAATTAATAATCATATAATATATAGCAATAGTGGCCCCATTCCATGGGATGCTCACGTCTATATAAATTTTCAAAAATAAAAACATCTATCGATCCATTAGGTTTCGAAAACTGTTGTTGGCCAAGGAGTTAAAGACAAGATATTATGTGATGAGATAAAATTTTATAGAAACATTCACATACGTTGAAATAATATATTTGTTACTTCGTTTCTTAAATGTTTACCTCATATTATTTCTAACTGAACACTTTTTATTTATTTCAAAATGTTTAACATCGGAAATATTCTACGCGAACGATCTTATGACGTTACCATTGTTGTTTGTGGTGACGTTCAAATTATGACCTTACATCGTATCCAGATCGTTGAATTACTTCAAGACTTACACTTGAAATAATGTCTTAAAGAAACAACTAAACTATTCGCAAATGTTTTATTGTTTATCCTTAACCGAGATTCAACTCGGGTCACTTGTTGCCTTTTTTATGCCTGTTTGGTTACTTTGTTAACCCTAATTATGAAACTCGGGACTTTTTGACGCATTAAATACATAGCACATTTTGGCTTACGTGTCACATAGTACGTGCGTTTCTGAAGAAGGACGTAGAGCTTCCGTGAACTCGGCACAACGCGCACTAGGTATGAAGAGACCCTTTCAGCTTCAGCCAACAGGTTCCCTAGTTTAAAAACAGGCACATTACGTTTCGACCCCGTCTTCTTCCTATAGCGTGATGACGTTACCGATACACGCGACTACACAAGCTCGTGTTTTGAAGAACGTGTATATGTTTTCAGGGAAGGCGAGAAAAAAGATTGCTCATTCCTTCAGTTTATAGCCTAACGTACACCAAAAATAAAACAGCACGACATGTTTACATAACATTTATAGGGCAGAAAATGGTCGAATTGTTTCAGAAGTACACAGATTTAGGTTGGGTTTCATCACAGCCATGACCCAGAAGTATTTGATCTAGAGTTAACAGTAGGCTTAAACGTAGTCACTAAAACATAAATACGAGTAACTTGTATTGGTATTTTGTGTTTATCGCAAAGCTACTAAGGATATCTTCCTAATTTTGAACTACTGACCAGAGGAAATCAGCCATGTAATTACAGACTAGCAATCACCGCCAACTTTTGGGCTACTTTTGTCTTACCAAAAAGTGAAATTTAGCAGACCCTCTTTAAAACAAGCCCATGACCCCTAAAAGCAGAGCGTGTATTTGCGGCAACAGTCCAACAACACTCATCAGTCTGTTTCACAGTCCAAGAACTCTTACCAGTCTGTTTCATAATCCAAGAACTCTTACCAGTCTGTTTCACAGTCCAAAAACACTTGCCAGTCTGTGTTCACAGTCCAAAAACACTTACATGTCTGTTTCACAGTCCAAGAACACTTGCCAGTCTGTGTTCACAGTCCAAAAACACTTGCCAGTCTGTGTTCACAGTCCAAAAACACTTACATGTGTGTTTCACAATCCAACAACTCTTACCAGTCTGTTTCATAATCCAAGAACTCTTACCAGTCTGTTTCACAATCCAAGAACTCTTACCCGTCTGTTTCACAATCCAAGAACTCTTACCAGTCTGTTTCATAATCCAAGAAGACTTACTAGTCTGTTTCACAGTTCAAGAACACTTGCCAGTCTGTGTTCACAGTCCAAAAACACTTGCCAGTCTGTGTTCACAGTCCAAAAACACTTACATGTCTGTTTCACAATCCAACAACTCTTACCAGTCTGTTTCATAATCCAAGAAGACTTACTAGTCTGTTTCACAGTCCAAGAACACTTGCCAATCCGTGTTCACAGTCCACAAACGCTTGCCAGTCTGTGTTCACAGTCCAAAAACACTTGCCCGTCTGTGTTCACAGTCCAAAACATTTGCCAGTCTGTGTTCACAGTCCAAAAACACTTACATGTCTGTTTCACAGTCCAAGAGCACTTATCAGTTTATTTCACGTTCCAAGAACACTTACCAGTCTTTTTCACAATACAAGAAAACTTACCAGTGTATTTCAAAATCCAAGAACTCTTACCATTTGGCCACACCTAACCCTTAAATTGCTAACGGGTTAAAGAGAGATTTAAACATAAACAACACCAGTATTACTGTTAGTTCCACATACTACTGCTAGGGTTTCCTGTGTATGTTACACAAGAAACGAGAGATTTGATCCACATAAAATTTTGTAATTAGTTCCTTACACTCGACAGGTAAAAAACAAATTACTGAATATTTTGACTCCACCGGAAGTGAACGGTATAAAAACATCACGGTAGTTTGAGGACTGAACATATATATATACCGGCCGGGTATTGGGCTACCCGGTAATACTCGGCTCCGGCATCTAAGTTAGGCATCTAAGCCCTAATCTTTGTGGGAACTAACGCGGTACTGAAAGTTACAGTCAATAATTGGTTTAGTTATAAATAAAAAAAAAAAACGTGTTCCGAGCAACAAAAACTGACCGCCCGCTGAAAGTCGGGGATTCAGAGAACAATAGAGGTTAGGGTTTGAGAAGTTGGGGCTAGGCATTGAAAGTTGAAAGTCAAACTTGAATGTTCTGTTGGTGATTAGTCGGTTAAATCTAATAAACGTCAATTTTTTTTTCTGATTTTTGTGTATGTTGTTTTTGTTGTTTTTTTTTATTGGGGGGGGGGGGGAGAACCCGGTCCCGGTTGACATCCGGCCCCGGCCGAAGCTTAGTGACCGGGTACCCGGACAAATTGTACTACCCGTGCATCCCTACATTTCCAGTAGGCCTGGCATGGCCTGGTGATTAGGGCGTTTGACTAGCAATCTGCGGGGGGTCACGAGTCAAATCCTGTAACCGAATATGTTTGCCCTTTCACCCGTATGGCATTATAATGTGATGGTCAATACCACTTTTTGTTGGTAAAAGAGCAGCCCAAGAGTTGGCGGTGGGTCCTATTTACTGTCTTCCATCCTTCTAGTCTATCACTTCTAAATTAAGGACAGCTAGTGCAGATAGCCCCCGAGTAGCCGTGCGCGAAATTAAACGATTTCCAATAATTATATAATGTGTTTTTATCGCAGATTAATACCAACCTGCATGACCCCAAGGTTTGTTTGAGAATTTTAACGCAGAGCTAATTTTGAGGCGATAGATTAAAGGGAAGGCAGCTTTTCAACAGCCTATTTGGCTACTGCTGTCTATACTTATAGAGGAAGTTAACGATCACTCTTATAATGGAACCACTGAGCGCGTTTTTGCGACAACGGGACGCAGCCATGAATCTTGAGATTCACAGCCCGGGAGCGACAAATATTAGGTTACACACAGCTCGACTTCAAGACACAGGTACTAATATTTATATCACTCAAATCACCTGGACATCATTGTTGGGTAAACTTGAACGCAGTAAAAAGACGCTGATTGTTAAACATGGTGTATATCTGTTATTGCTGTCACTGTCGACAACATCAGGCCCACGTGGCAAAAGTTAGTGCTCCAACTTTAAATTAAGACAAATGAAAAAAAAACAACAACAACATAGTAACATGTACGTTAAAAAACTAAAAAAACACCGTTGAAATATATGGTAATTATATTACTGTGATATATATTTTTAAAAACTCAAGCTCAAAAGATGAAAGTGTTGTTTTAGAGGTTTAATTTTAGGACTAAAAACATAAACGATTTTGTGAGTAGTGTTTGTTTGTTTGTTGTTAAGCGCAGGGTTACAAAATTGACTATTTGTGTTGTGCCAACCACGGGTATCGAAACCCTGTTTTTAGTGTTATAAGCCTTCAGACTTACGGCTGAGCCACTAGGGGCTGTGAGTAATGTACACTGAAAAATGCTATAGAACACGTCGCCCGCTCAACGAAACGGTTAATTCCACTCATTACTCCTAGAGTTTCCTATGTATTTTACAGAAAAAAAAAGGAGGAATTTGATTCACATAAAATTTTGTAGTCAGTTCCTTACAGTCGGCGTTGTAAAAGGCCAAAAAGAAATTACTAAATATTTGGAATAATATTGTTGACAGCTTCAGTCATAATACCTTCGTAAGAATAATAAAAAAAAAATCATTTAATAAATCTTTATAAGAATTTGCTGGCTGTCTAGCTGTCTGTTAAATCTTAGTATATTTTACAACTATTGTTTACATGGCATTCTCATCCGTAACTGTTGTTTACATGACACTCTCATCCGTAATTGTTGTTTACATGACCCTCTCATCCGTAACTTTTGTTTACGTGACCCTCTCCTCCGTAACTGTTATTAACGTGGCACTCTTCTTTGTAACTGTTGTTTACACGACACTCTTCTTACCACAGTGCTCGACTCAACAGGGAAGATCCCAAGTGGAATACTTCACGGGTCCTTAGCAGAACTGGGAGATTACGAGCAGTGTCAGAACATCGTTGTTTACAACCGGAGAGACGACAATAAGGAACGATTTCGTGGTCGGTATTGTTCAGTTCACGTGCAGCCTTACCTACCGCCTGGGGTTAAGTATCATGTGTACAGCACCAACAAAACGGTAAGATTTTTTTCCTGTTAGTTATAGGTTTGTTTGTTGTTAAGCGCAGAGCTGACCAATAAATATTCGTACTGAGCCAACAAAAAGGATCGAACCCCAAATTATAGCGTTATAAAGCCCTTAAGGTTATCGCCGAATCTTTGGTAGCATGAAACGAATACTTAGGTGAGTCTACACATGTCAAAAAAAAAGGAGTACGAGTTTGTAGACCCTTGTGAGAACACGAGATCGAGAATTAGTACAACAAAACACTGTATTGTCCATTCTCTCACAAAGCTACTGGACTGTCTGATGTCGTCCCTAATTTTGAAGTGATAGAGTAAAGGGAAGGTAGCTAGTCAATACCCCCCCCCTCACACACTCACCGCTAACTCTTGGGCTATTCTTTTACCAACCAAAAGTGGAATTGACCATCACGTTATAACGCTCCCACGGCTGAAAGGGCGAGCATATTCGGTGACGGGATTCGAACCCGCGACCCGAAGATTGCAAGTCGAGCCCCCTAACCACCAGGCCAAGTCATGTCTAGTGAATAATGGATTTTGTAACTTGCATGCACAAAATAAAATGCAGTAAAAACGTTGAAAGAAACGTTGTAGCATGCGGAAACACAGTAATGTGTAAACTAACTTTAATAAAAACAAAATTAGGCATTCAATACTTAATCCAATAACTGAATGGATAAATGTATTCATTGTGTTCACAGCGAAACTGTAACTGGTTTTTATCCAAACTTGCTTCCTTTTTTACTGACTTTCAAACTAATTTAGCCTGCATTATGTTTTTTCTTTGTAGATTCATGACTTGGAAGAAATGTATTCTTACTTGTCCAGAGGAAGTTTTCGTTTAGGACTGTGTCTTCCATCTTCCTGCTCTTTGAAAGACGTCCAGCAGATGGCCAGCCAAGGTGTGTGATAGATAGATAGTCTATTAATACCATACTGTATGATTTGAGGAATTCAAACAACGTAGGAATACCGACACAAATACTGTATTCCTGGCCGCTCGGCTGGTATACGACCTAGTTACTTATTTGATATGACAAGTATTGTAGGTCGACGCCACCTGGAGATATATTAAAAACCACTCTTTTTGGAATCTGTTAATACATGAATCTATTTTCAAGGCTATTACGCCGATTAATATTATACTTTTGATTACGATAATTATACTTCTTTAACTTCAAATATACTGACACGCTCAAAAGTTTTATTTTTTTTTATGGATAACGAAATAATAAAAAAAACATCTACTAATCGGTAATATTGGAAGTTATGTTTATGTGTGTGTGTTAAAACTCCCAAAGCCGATATATTATGCAGTTTGTCATTCTATATGCATGATTTACTCTGACTAGATTAAACTCTTAACAGAACTCGACGTATTTGAATGAATAAAAGTTCACAATTTAGCAACCGTAGGATCGAGCGACTTAGAATGTTTATAACTTATAGGTTTTTTTAGAAAATCATATTTTTTATATTCCCACTGATGGCAAAGTTTTTGTAATATTTGAACAACCACGCTTACATCGCAATTCTTCTCTGTATTTATGGCAAAGCTACTAAGGCAGCTAGTCAGCAGCATCCTATCACCACCGATCCATGCTAAGGGATTGATTGTCACTCTTATAGCGCACCCATAGCTTAAAAGGATTCGAACGCAGCTCCGAGATCCAGAGGAGGGTCAGGCAACCAAGAAAGTCTGGAAAAGTCTTGTAGTTCTACCGCTTTTTTCGTTAACTTTTTTGAAGATTTTATAATATGACTAACTATCTGCTACTGCATAATGAGTATTTTTAGAAATGAAAAGTGAGAATGGACAGGATTCGAACCCGCGACTCTGTTTGGCTAACAGAGGCAGGCGTGTTCGAATCCTGCTTCGTTTCAGTTTCCTCTTCTTCAGAAATGTTTCTAAATGCACAGTGGTGAATCACCTTTAACATTTATTCCTTTTAAACAATTACATCTATTTGATCCAACTGTGTGAACGGGGGGGAAGATTAAAGGTGGTCAACTGATTACCTGATTGGACACTGACGTCCTTGTAGTTGGTTTTCTTTGTAACAGCACCATAAAAAAAGTATATACTTTCATACGACACTCAAAAGTAAAATGACAAATTCAGTTCGTTCGAACTGCACGTACAACGAATAAACAATATTTTCGGGAGGTTGAAACTCATAGCAGCGCTGCCGAGAGCCATAATAGAGGCCCAAACAAGGAATCAGTATCGGATGATTTATGGATTTATGTCAGGTGCATGCATAAGTATCGAAGGCGCTGTTAATGTTTGCTTAAATGTTCTTTACTGATTTTATACACTCCGCAGAGATGTGTGGGGGGATATTATACTTGACCGAGTGAAGCTAGGGAGTGTACGCCACAGGCGCACTCGTTACGGCCAGGGCCCAGGTCTCGCCTTGGGACCTTTGAAGCTTTTCGATTGCAGATTAAATTTTATGCATTCTCCTGCTTCTTCCTAATTTTGTTGCGTTTTTACTGAGACAGATTGAAAAGTAGGGTACGCCACTGTTCCTTCACTTCCGTGCACATTTTTCACCGCTCTCAGGGGCCGCCTAGTGGGCAGAGGGCCTTGAAAAATATCCCCGACCTACTCACCTCTCTCGGTGATTCCGGTCCTAGCCACACATGGTGTTTGTTATCATAACTAAAACATCCTACGTTCAATTCGAAAGTATTTAAATAGTATGTTTACTAGGAAATACTTAATTTGCTAAAACAATGAAAAACGTTCCTCCCTTCCATAAATTTTAGAATCATTTTTCTATTAATTCTGCTTCTTGTTTGTTTAGCATGACTTCCATTGAGCCGAAAAGGAGAGTTTGCTTAAGTGTTTATAAAAACCCAAATTTTGAATTAATTTTACTGCTATCATTATATCCAGAGGGCGCGTATGCAAACAAACTTGGAAGTTATTTCATTGGTTCTTTAAATAAACAGCATATTTTAAGTTCAGTTTTCTTTCCTTGTTTGTATTAAGCGCAAAGCTATAGAATGAGCTACCCGTGCTGTGACAACCACGGGTATCGAAACCCAGTTTTTAGCATTATAAGCCTGCAGACTCACCGCTTTGCTACTGGGGGGGGGGGGGGTCTTTGAATATCTACACATCTCGATCACCTTCTTCTCGAGATCATTTAATTTTTTTAAGTTGAAAGCAGCAGAATTGCTTACTTGAATTGTGCCCACCATAAAATCTAACTCTAAATATTAGCGTTATAAGTCTTTAAGATCCTCGCTAATTTACCGTGGATTCACTTAAAACAGAAAGTTAAAGAATATTTGAAAGTGAGTATATAAAGATAATAGTTTAACTGGTGAAAACCTCTGCGGTTCGAAAACTTAGATCCTGCAAAGAGATAAATATGTGGAACTGTTCTCTATAAATATTTGTACAAAGATATTTGGTTTTTGAAGCTTTGAATGAGGCTATAAATAACATAACATTTCAGTATACATCCGATAATGAAGAATGTTATAAAAGCATTCGTACAAGTAGATTAAAGAAAATATTCAATTTAACAAACTGGAGAGTGGTCAAAAAGTCTGCAAAAATGTGTTTAAATTTAAAACTAGAGTCAAATTGGGAAGATCAAAGTCGTCTTGCTTATTAATTTACTTACCATTGCCGTTGCTGTCTTACAAACTTTTAGCTAAGTTTATACTCTAAAGTTAATGTTGGCCTAATTAATACTAATGGAGGATATCCCTCTTGCCTAAATTTTTAACTAAATTTGTTCACTTTCTTCAGACGAAACATTTTATAATTTAACATAATGGAGTATAGCCAACATAGCGGAAGTAACTGTTGTTCAGACGAAACATTTTATCATTTAACATAATGGAGCATAGCCAACATGGCGGAAGTAACTGTTGTTCAGACGAAACATTTTATCATTTAACATAATGGAGCATAGCCGACATGGCGGAAGTGACTGTTGTTCAGACGAAACATTTTATCATTTAACATAATGGAGTATAGCCAACATGGCGGAAGAGACGGTTGTTCAGACGAAATATTTTATCATTTAACATAATGGAGTATAGCCAACATGGCGGAAGTAACTGTTGTTCAGACGAAACATTTTATCATTTAACATTGATAATGTGCTAAAGAAAACATTGTGACGTTAATAAAAAATCCAACGTTATATATGATTTCAATTAACACCCGGATGTTATCAAGCCACTCTGGTTTCCCTTGTTATTCCAAAAACAAACAGGTGGACTTACATAAACTATGGGATGGATAATGGCGTCTTAAATAAACAATAAAATCTTTCTAATTCAGTGTTTAATTGTTCGTTATTCATATTATTCCTACCTTTTTTAACCAGATGTGAAATTTTCAAAATAATTTGAAGATTGGAAAGTATGGAATTGATTATAAAATCAATTTTTGTCTGCCCCTCCCCCTCTTTTATTTATTTTTAGTGAGAAAAAGAATTGAATTAAACGTGACTGTGAACTGGTGTCAAGTAAAGGATTCTACTTGGAGTTTAGATAACAGTCAGCTTGCTGTCTGGTAAGTAAGTCCATTTAGACAATAGTAAACTTCCTCTCTGACCAGCATGAGCGTTCGTAGAAATTTTTGCAGGGGGAGGCAAATTTTTCCTTTTGGGGCAAAGTATTGTGAAATTGTGAAGTGAATAAAAAAATTCATGTAAATATGCTGAATGAATAAAGAGGGAATTATGTTTCTCATTTTCCGGGGGGGAAGTAAATACTCCCTCTTGCACCCCCCCTTTGCGGATACCCATGCTGACCAGATAATAATATTCCTGAAATACTGAAGTATGTTACTACTAATAACATGCGTTCTGTATTACATCAGTCTTTATTGACCCAACACGGATTTCCAGTAAGAAGAAACAATAATAACGTTTCAACTATTCTTTGTTTTATGTATACCGCTGCTGTTGACGAAAGCTTCTCAATAGTAGAACTCGTTTGGCCAACTTGATTGAAACATACATAGACTTGTGGTTCATAACGTCTTAGTTATAGAAGCATGATATGTAGATAGGTGGTTTGTGTGATATTAAATCACGATAAGACTGGTAACAACTTTTAACAAACCTTTTTTTTTTGTTTTCTTGTTCTTTACGGGTCTCCAGACAATGATTACAATGGCATCTTGGTCACACAAAAATATTATCAGTCTTATTGTGATGTAATGTCATACAAACTACCGATCTATAGATAGCCTACTGGTTGAAAAACCGTTATTACCGGAAATCCGTATATTGGGCCTGTAATATCTTATGATTTAAATTATTACCCATCTCATTGTGATGTAATATTAGTAATAAGTATTATAATTTGTTACCTGTGTCGTTCTACACCCAATGTTGTGTTTTGTTCCCAAGTTATTGTTATAAGTTGTATTTTAGTGTATAACTTTTTTCGTTAGCTAGAGAGCGCATGAAGCTAAGATCAAGTAATTTTTTAGGAGTAGGCATAGGATATTCTAAACTGACGTCACGAAAATCTAGTGACTTTGCGAAATATCTAGAACAAGGATTAGATATAAATACGGGTAATCCAGTCAATAAGCTAAGTAAACTTGGAGGGTGAATCAGTGAAACATAAATAGAACTAATCAGTTAGATAACATTACAGTAATGTAACTAATATTTGATTCAGTGGTTATCTATTTTCTTTATATGTTTTTTTAAATGGGTCTTTTTTAATGATATGGCTAGAAAAGTAATGTTTACTTCAACAAAATAGTTATTTTACAACAAGACAGGTTTAGCTGCACAGAAATTACACTAATGATAATTACCTAAATTACCTAAATGATAATTAACCCTAGAATTACCAACAGGGGTTCTCGTGGAGCGCAAAGGTATGTTAAACATATTTGTATAAAATATTTATGCACCAAATTGCCTGGAGTTCGTAATTTTATTGCTCTCAGGACCGCTATTAACATATGAGGTACACCAAAAATTTACATTTAAAAATGCTATCAACACTGCAATTAATTCCACCATGGTCAACATTTTTTTTCTATTTCAAATACATATAAAACGAATGATTTCTTCGAATTTGCTTTAGGTCAGTTCTTAACACTTAATGTTATATCGGTCAACAATATAAAATTACTCATTGTGGTTAACTTATGAACCCCAACGCTATTATAAGGTATAAAACAAGTTGGTAATTTGAAGAATAAGTGTTACGTGCGTCATTAAAACCATTTAATCTTATAATAAACGGAATATTTCAAAATCTGATGTGAAACATTTTCATTGCACATCATAAAAAAGAGAGAACATCAGGATTTTCCCTTTTTATCTCCAAGATTATAATATATATTTGTATAATCATGCATTATCAAGTTCAAAAAATGTGTAATAATAAATTTCCACGCGGTATTTGACAGTTTAGATCTTTTGTGTGTGCGTTTTAGACTTGAAGTTTAGAAGTTTGTTTCGGACCTATTTTTAGAGAGAGAGAAAAAAAGCTATTCTAAGGCTAAGTCGTGTTTCATGTTTGTGATTTGGATGATTCACAGTCATTACTATACATTCAAACAAGTCTGAAAATATGTGTTAACATCAAGCTTGAAATGCTTGTGGAAAAAAATCAATAAAATTCTAAATCTAACGTATCCATAATAAAGAGGTTATAAATAGTTTATAATTAATACACAATTAATCAAGAGTGATTATTGTTACTTACATACTTTTGTAATAATTTTATTTTAAGTATAGAATATGTTTATCAATGAATATTTGTACATATAAATAGAGAACAAAAAAAGCCAAGCAACAAAATCCTTGGGAGAGAATGACCATAATTATAAAACGTTCAGCTGTCAGGATTCGCACCCTTAAGTATTAAAAATGTTGTAATATTAAGAAATGTGAAACTAATTTAATTTGGTTTTTAGATCAAAGCATCGAAAAATTAAAACAGCGGTTAATGTAATATCAACTTTTAACACTAAATGGCTAAAAACAAATATGAGGTTAGATAAGGCCTATCTCTTTGTAAGGGCGAGTTTTGTTTGAATGATATTCAGTGTGTGTGACCTTTCAACATGGTTTTTTCAGTCTGTTCAACGGTTTGATGCTGGGTATTGTACTACTGGCAACGAGTATTGAGCTAATTCGTCGATACTTCCAAAAACGAAGACATCTTAGGGTTAAGGACCGAGCAGAGACAGGTAAGTAGGAAAAACAACACAGGAAAGACTTCGTACAGACGCATCATAGGAACATCAGTGGCATCATATTAGCAAGTATAAAGTAGGCTTAACCTGTGGTACTATTTTATATTCTCATTGCAACGTTTCTATGATATGTCTCTATAAAACTTAGAAGTTTTTCAACTCGATCACTTATAATATATATATTGTTACGACAGTGGAAGTCGCGTGACGCTGAGAGCATGCGCGCTGGAGTTTCTCGAAGGATCATGAATGATCGGGGAGATCTGAGTTTATTCGAGGCGCTCTCTTTTTTAGTATATAAGCCTGGCGAGAAAAACCACCGCTATTGAAGAGATATAGATAGATTAGAGAGATAGATAATTGAGTGAAGCGAACAGTAGGCACC